TAGCAGTTTGACGGAATTATTGACATACCAGAGCTTCCTCTTGGGGTGTCTGACCCGAACACTTCCTTTTGACATTAGTTCCACATTGACAAGGCAATGTAATGACAGATGTTCATTTATGGAGTAAATGAAGTTCTTGCGCTTCTCTTGAAAAAGTTTCGTTTTAAAAAGTAAATGTATTAAACTCGTCAATCGGAACTGTTCGTTTCGCAAAGCGCCATTTTGGTTACTTGACTAGCGAGTACTAGTATTCCTTCGCTTCCAACAGCGGTCTCGTAGCTTTCAAGAATAGTTTTTTGAAGTTGATTTTGTATGTAATCATATCCAAATGTATAATAAAGAAATTCAGTGACTACAAATATGATTTATTACTTTTGTTTATACTTTTTAAGATTTCGCAAACGCGGGACTACTTTTTAAGTCGCCATTACAACGCCTGGTGAAACGTCCCTAGGAGAACTTACGTTTCAAGGTTTTACATTGGTAATGAAAAAACAAATATTTTCCGGTAGACAACTACACAAGAAGTATATAATTTATAGGTTATTCCATGTGTTCGTGAAATGTAATTTTTGACTCATCCCGTGACACTGGAAAGGAGACATTTCACTCGTGGCTACGATATCTTCTTTGCCCCGTCATTCAATGAGAGAAAACATGATATTAACCTCGACACATAAAATATCCTCTACGTATTAGCAATAAAACAGAACAATGGCCGAGCATGACTGATAAAGAGAGGTGGCTGCAAGCTTACGTGTATGAACAGAATTGAATGATATACTTAACACAATAAGTTTCAGGTCGGATTTCTGTTGAGGACCAAATTCAATTAAAACTGGTGGTATCAAAATGTGTTGATAGACATTCCGAAGAATTCTTCTTTGCGGGTGCCATCGGTGGGGCAGGATACGCTCACCTTTTCTCAAACAGCTGGTATCATCACTATTTGATAGTAATCCATAAACACATGCTCATGATAAGGTCGGAGTTTTATTATCTATGTAGAATGATATGAAAATATCAGTGTAGCGTATCCCTTATAAAGAGGGGGCACGGATGGCCTAGTCGTCCAAGGCGCCGCGATTCGCTGTGCAGATTTGCGTCCCTTGGGCACGCCAGAAACCTATGATCGTGGGTTCGAATCCCGGTTTGCCCCGATTATGTTTTTAGGTTAGTCAGCACCATACCCGTGCTCGTGGGTTTCACCGAAGTGGTAAACGTCTGTGACCTGCATCACTTGGGGCTTTCCTCCCACATTAAGCTGACACGCCGTGATATAACCGGAATACTGTTAAAAGCGGCGTTAAGCCCAACTCACTCACTCACCTTATGAAGAAGGATTTTATGAGTGTTACAAACACTGAAACAAAACAGTTTCTATGATAAATGTTCCTCAAAAGATTTTGACACCTATTTTTTTGCGAAATCACATTCCATGACAACAGTGTGCATATACATAAACACAAAATAATCCGGTTTGAAATTAGTAACGAATCATACGTAGCTCGTTTACATTCACCACACGATTGAAATGAAGATTAGTTGCAGCCATGAAACTGAACTAGGTACATGTATGGCACAAAGGCATGAGGGATGAGATCTGACACAAAAACAGTAGGAGGGTTCACACTTGAATGACACAGAATAAAACATTATCCGGAACATATAAAGTGTTTGACAGATTCCGGTTCTAAAAAAGGCACCTCAAGAGTAAGCCGTGGTGTGCCACACGAGGAAAGTGAGTGCGAAATGTGCCGCAATTAATACACAGTGGGGTGAATGCAAATATGAGAAAATCAATGAAAATAAACAAGATGAATAGAACCACTAGCAGGTCATTTGGAAGCTCGGTGGTATAGGCATCGCTAGTAGACCTCTCCGTACTTTCATTAATGTAGAATTATGCTTGAAAGATGGATTTTTCTGCACCACCACAATATAGCTAATATACCAGTCTTTCTACCTTTCTAATCCGCGGTTTTCGGCACGATCGTGTAAACATTGTTTTCGGTACTACTGCATCAATATTTTGCTGGGTGGAAGTGCCAAAGGACAGCCCATACGAGGCATTTGTAAAGGAGAGGGTCATATTTCATCTACCTTGGGTCAACGTGGTTTGAATGGCACCAATGAGTACTCAGTGTTGATATTATGACAGTTAGTATTATATTAGATTACTACAATACGTATTTAAGTTGCTATTGTGAATTGAATGAAACGTGTCAATATATTGTTATGATTAGCATTAACGTAAGCATACACAATTTGATCAATAACGTTTTGAAAGCACAAATCTCACGTTCACCCTTTCATGTGCTGGACCAGAATGGAAATTTTCTGTGGCATAAATGATCGAATTATTTCTCAACATTTCGGTGAGGTATTTGTTGGAGCATACTAACTCTTCTTAAGAATATCTCATACAATTACTGTCAGAGAAACGCATAAGCTGTTTATACATAACGGTAACAAAGATACAGGAAGCAGCTCACACGCCAGTGAGTCTAGAACCACCACAGGGTATTAACCGGTCTTGTGTGGATTAAATGATGATTAGTCTGTCTAAATGTGGACGTTGAAATCAGCGCAGCTTCGCACCAACTTAAGCTCAGAAGGTTACAGCCAGTCAAGCTTTAAGGACTAGGACATCAGCAAGAACGATATATATCAAGTGTTCTAGGTGCAATTGGCATAACTAACGAATATTATAAATACAATATATGGAACTTTATGGATAAGCCAAGTGTACCATACTTTTCTTTTCTTTTTCACTATCCTAGGGAAAAAAGAACACAAAACGGAGGAGGCATCCTTACGTTTTATGTCTTCCTGTTCTTCTAAATGTCTTTTCCAAAAAAAATACTAAATATGACACGGTACTTGACAACATGATGCTACGGCATACTATGACCTTCACGGCGTTTCTTCTTGCTCATAGACGCTTACTTTGTAATGAAATTTGAGTAACGTGTGATACCGGTATGTTTACCCTGTTCGTGAAGACCTAGTGTCATCCATTTATATAGTCCTTCACTATTTTGCCTTTTACGCCCTATGACACCACTTTCGGCAGATATTCGAGACTTTTATTCTCTGGCGTTGACGTTTTGAATTAGTAATGAATACACTTGTGTTTATAAATGTTGTTAAACATTTTATATAGATAATCTCACCCGCCGATTGTTGATATATTTGATGTACAAAAAAAAACGAGGGCGAGATTCTGTTTATCATCCAAACGTATTCTGCCAACTTTTTCAGCTTGTAAACAGTAATGACCAGTGTCGTGATTATAAAAGGCACAGCTAACCAGCTCCAGAGAGAATGGTTACGTAATTTGCCTATGACGACAAGGTGACCGATGACCCAAAATCCGGAATCCAAATGAAGTCAGGAAGGGTGAGATATTTTTTTATAATATTTTAACGTCGTAATACTTGACTGACAAAATGTGTCTGGTTATAACAAATTGCACTATGTTTATATGATGCATACGCAGCCATCCTTTTAGTTTAGGTTGACGTTCAATATTTCCAAACGAGGTTTGCCAGAAGACGTTTTCTCGACATGAATGATCAGTGCTCATGAGATGTATTTTCAGATTTGTTCTCGTGAGTTCTCTGTAAGGTTCCAAATGCATCACTAGTATATCCTTACTGTTAGATAAATCCGGTCAGATGAATCTTTATATACTGAACAAAACAAGTCCGGGATTATGAATATTTTTATGAAATAATGTGCGCAGTCTTCACCACAAAAACAATCACGCAAAATAATCATGATCCCTAACATGTTTGTAGTAGGGGGATACTTTGTGGAACCTGTTTTAATGTAATATAGAATTAATTACTTGACAGTGTACATGAGGCTTTTGGAGTAATTCTTTGCTTTATTCTTTCTTGTGACCATTCACCCACATGTAATCGTACTCTTTTAGTTAGTTTGGTTTTGCATACAACTGCTTTGTCCTGAAATTGATGTAATTGATGTCTTTTATAGTTCACGTAGCTTTCAACCAGTACCATAACCTGAGATCATAGCTTTGATACGTGGAGAAATTTCAGTACCCGTCCAAAATAACTAAGTCTTATTAAGCAGTGAAATTCGTCCTGTCGGCAAAAAACAAATTTAATTATGAAAAAAAACCCTTTAGAAACGTAAAGGTTTCCATCAACAGACTGATGTAAATTGTGTTTGGGGCAAATCATGCAATTCTTTGTTGTTGATAATAAATTTACTGTAGGGGAACGTATCAAGATGATCGCCAGCCTATTCGGATCGCCGCGTGATGCCTTGAAGCAAACGATAGCGTTAGGGATAAAAGAATTTAAGTAATGATAATCTCTTCTACAATGCTATTAGGAAATAAAATTAAGGAGAAAATCGTTTAGTGTGACAGGAAATCACCGACATCTGTATCGCGTGACCTGATTTTTAAAATTGAACATGAACATTTTAATCGGGTAAGGCCCCAGACAATTAATCTTTTAAAGTTTTTTTCCAAAGTGAGGACACGGAGAAGAAGTTCGGCGATGAATTGTCATTGTTTGTAGGTTTTAAAGCACATGAATGACTAGATAATGATTGTTAGATTTTAGTTTTTAATTTTTGCACGGACCCTATAAATGGAGGATTAATTTTTGGATACACTAAACATTGTTTAAATTGAATTAAAAAAGGATTGATGAAATATCTTTTTAGATATTTTGTTAACTTATTTCGGAACGAGTCGAATAGTTTTTTTAAATAGAAAGGTAGAACACCGAAAGAACGCATATCAGGCATATATATATATATATATTATTATATATATATATATATATATATATATATATATATATATATATATATATATATATATATATATATATAAATATAAAGATAGCTGGGATAAGTACACCAGGAGTAGTAACACTGATGATGGATTAAAGGTTACTAATGGGGAATTTGTTAGTACTCGCCCTTTCAACTTCCAAATGCCTTCTCTACAAACTAACCTTGCTGTGTTCACCTTGCATAGCTGGAAGGCTCCGTAGATCATGGGATTGAGCAGCGAGTTGGTCATCCCGATGAAAAATAACCACAGGTTTGTCCTTGGGTTAAATTCTTCCCAGAAGAAGGTTGAACAGATGAAGAGAACGTAATAAGGAGACCAGCAGACGACAAAAGCTAACACTATCACTATGGACATCCGGAGGGACTTCCGCTTTGCCTTGCGCAGTAGATTACTCCTCACGGGTCCTCGTGAAAACTCGTTCGATAACGATGAGGTGATAGACTCTGCAAATATAATATCATTGATGGGTAAGCATTAAGTTTAAAATTGACTCAGGTACTCGATATCCCTCCTTGATGGTATTGTTGAAGGAAACCACAAAATAAGGCGTTATTAATCATAGACTACCTTGTTGAGGTACATAATAGATCATCATTGGGTCAACCAAAAACGCTTTAACACAAAACGTAATTCTCTACCGTCCTAAATTATAGTGTTAATAAGGGTCTAATACATAAACGCTGTCATTGAATCTGATTCGTATTTCCAGATAACCATTTTACAGTTGAAAAGGGTTTGGCAGCATCATACCCGTGCTCGCGGGTTTCACTAAAGTAGTAAACGTCTACGACCTGCATCACTTCAGGCCTCCCTCTCACATCAACTGGAATACTGTTCAAAGCGGCGTCAATACACAGTTCACTCACTCACGCTTGAATATAACTGGCTTAATACTTTAAATAAGAAAAAAACCATCTTATATGTGTAAATATCAACTAGTTCACATGCACATTGTAAAATTGCCATCACGCCCGGGAATGTTTTACCTTCACATCTCATAAAGTCCAAAGAGTTAATTAATGTTGGCGCTTAATCTTAAAGTGAAAGTGTAAATCTTTCCGTGCTCATTTGATTGGAACTTAATCGTTGCTTAAAAGACTTAAAGCAAAAACATTTAAACATTTAATACAAAAAAAAGAAAAGAAGTGAACTAAATATGCTGCAATAACGTTTCATGCAGGAATACAATTTCAACTCGAAAACGTTGCTTTAAGGACTTAAATTGATTGTAACGGCTTGCTTGATTGAATGTATTTGCTCCTTTAAAGAGGCGTCTTTTGCATTCACGAACAAATACCACTTTGATCATTGTAAGTTACGCCTGGGGATCCTTTGATCTGTCGGTGACTGATTTTACTTGAACCAGTGAGTGATGGCCTGAAGAATGATGATCCAGTGTCATTTAAGAGAATGTGTCTTTCAAAGCCGGGGGTAGTCTAGGCAGTCCATCGATGGTCAATTCAGTAGGCCAGAAGAGCTTTGGACCAATTCAAGCGAAAACAAATCCTCTAGACAAGGGTATCGACTGAGCAGAAGAGTGATGTCCTGGGGTAAACTGCCTTGATCAACGTCGTGAATGGTTTCATGAGTTGTGACCATTACGTTGATGTTATATCTTAATACACATAATGTGGTTATGCCTTTTTTGACAGTTATTTTTTATTACGAGACATACTGTTGGATGATATAGTTAAAACAACAATACGGGGCAGTGCTAGTCTTTCACTGTTACGCACGCGATTCACTGCCGCATAGTGGCATTAGGGACCACTGATGCTATCCTTGTAGTTTACATTTGTAGGAATAGATTGTATGGTTGTCAATATTCATGTTCAAGTGACCCCTCTGACCAGTGAGTCAGTGAGGTTACACAGCAAACAATACTTAGGATACAACATTGTTTGATTGATTGATTGATGTGATACTATGGTTATTAGAAAACACGTTTAGGATTATTTTCCGTTTGCGATACGGTTTAAACGACACTCATGATAAATATCATTACATTGTCAATTGCTTCGCAAGTTGGAGCTTGGGTCTACTTGTAAAGCAGCGGGTGGGATACATACACAAAAGTAAATATTATTTAAACATTTGACCAAAATCTTTTGAAACGTTGATGGCTCGACAAGTGTCAACTATGAATGGTAGTATTAACAACAGCAGTTGAAATACCATCATCACCGAGCGTTGACATAGCAGACATAATCACATCTCTAACGAACTAAGAAGTATCTTGCGAAAAGGTGAGTGAGTGAGTAAGCGATCTTTGCTCAACGATGGACTATTCTACTCTGGAATCCTATTGAAGGTTTAGAAAAGCTTTCCTAAAGTTCACTGGGCGTTAGGATAGCCTAGTTGATAAAACATTTGCTCGTCAAGCCTAAGGGCCGGGTTCGATTCCTTCATGGGTACAATGTGTGAAGGCAATTTCTGGTGTGCAGTGATGTTGCGGAAATGTTGATAAAAGCGGCGTAAAGCCATATTTACTCACTCACTTACCCCTAACGTGCATTGACATTCCGTGCGTAGTGAATCCTCTTCACTGTTATAAACACTAGTCACAAGTTTTTTCATAGGAATGATTCGTTCTGCGGTATTAATTGTTTTACAGATTTGACAGTTCAGCAACCTCCTACTGGACCCTTGACAACATCCTTTTGCATTCCAATTAAGTAGCTCTTCCATAACCACATGAGAACTTTCCCAACTTTTCTCTTTTAATCTTAATGCAATATTGCTTTTGAAACGATACCGTTTGTAGAGCATTGATCCGACACGAGTAAATCAGTACCGACGTCTTAATAGGCACGTCGCTGCATTCAGAGAAGTTTGAAGACTATGTAACCAAACTCTTGAAATAATTTGCGTTGCCAGCAGTTACATCCTTACCCTTTTAAGCAACGTGGGATTATTTATGCATGCATAACCAGCTCCTGGTGACAGAATGTGGTGGGGGAACAGCAAATAAGTGACATTTCATCATGACCACCTTCTTTCCTAATTTCATTTACTTCAGGGCTCTTCCACAAATCAACCAAAGATACATTTTTTACAAGTCGACAGAAAGTCGGGGAATAATACACATGGGAAATAATGGGATGAGAAGTGCTTTGTTAGGAATAAATTTCACGATTACAGTTGCATTTCTCCAGAGACATATTGGATAATTTTAACAAGAAATAATAAATGCAGTTTATTATTTCTTTCAAACATGTTTTGCAATGACAGCGATCACGTAAATTACGGATATTTGCGGAGAGACGTGCTGGATGTAACATTTAGACTTACGTCAAAAGCAGTTTATTAAATGCCTCTGGATGGGATGTGAACAATCTTCCATCCACGTTTGTGATTCGTGAAGATCCGGGGTGGAAAAGGTCTTCAGCAACCCATGCTTGTCGTAAGAGGCGACATAACGGGTGGTCAGGCGGTCAGGCTCGCTGACTTGGTTGATGCATGTCATCGACCCCAAATTTGTGGATCGATGCTCATGATATTAATCACTAGATTGTCTGGTCCAGACTCGGTAATTTACAGGGCGCCGTCATATAGCTGGAATATTGCTGAGTGCGGCGTTAAACAACAAACCAACCATCCACGTTTCTGGCTACTAAGTTCTTTCGCAAAATGTATCACGCGTATTAACAGTTTTCTCATGTCATCGTATCCCAATTGCGTGGAACGATGCTCATGTTGTCAGTCACTGGATTGTCTGTTCCAGACTCGATTATTTACAGACCGCCGTCATATAGCTGGAATATTGCTGAGTGTGGCGTTATCAACAAACAAACAAGCAGAAAGTAGAAAATGCATATGCCCATGTCAGAGTAGAGATGCACATGTTGTTTAGGGCATGACCTTCCATAATATGTCAATCAGGAGGTAAGGTGAGGTTAAGTGGGGTTTAACGTTGCGTTCAAGAATATGTCACCCTCATAGTGACGTCATACACGTGTGTGCGTGGCTGCTTGTACCAGTCCACTGAGATACCTGACTCTGAGGCGGTCAGTCCTTGTTTTACCCTTTGCCGGGTGCCAGTAAGGGTAACAACAAGTACCATATTTTAAAGTCGTTTGGTATGACGCGGCTAGGGGATAGAACCACCTATATTCAGGTGTCCGGGTTGACTCTCTATCCACTACACTACGGAGGCGTTTTGTCCAAGGTGTAGGTATTTAGAGGGCAGAAACATGGAATGTATCATCATTCATGCCATGCCTTGAATATAAGGATAGGAAGTTCCACATCCCCGAATGAAATTGTAAGGGTAGAAAAAAATATTTGTTACATTGAAAAAGGCTTCTTTTCTTCACATATGCATGAATACCTACCACATGAAGCAGCTTGAACAGTCAAAGCATGTTGTGTCCAGCAGAAATCACAAAAGAGAGGTGTCATGTGCTGGACGCTAACCCAAGAGACTTACAGTAATTGTTGGATGTGTTGTCAAAAAAGCATACACAACAAGACAAAGATGCAACCTTTGCTACCCACAAATAGTCTCTAACCTATCACAACAACAAGCACAGAAACAGTAAAAAGAAGAAATAGTCTACAAAAAAACGAAATAGGTGACTTTGAAGTAACTCAAACTGAATAATGACACCAAAAACGAAATAAGAAAAACTAGAACTGAAAATCATATCGTCTAAATTGGAAAGCTGTCGGATCTGGTGATCAAGAATGATAACTGTAGTTATCAAGAACGACAACTGCGGGGTACATGCCTGGTTCTACATCTACTGTACATGTACCTTTGCTGCCGGTGCAGCCCGACATACACATGATGCCTTGGTATGTCTGCCATTGATCTGCACAACGACGCCTCTTGGCGAGGCACGATATCCCATCTAAAACTGAACAAGAAATCATTATGAGGTAAATTCATTAGATCATGTTATCCCAAGAATAAATTATGCATAGCCAATTTGGTCAGGCTCTTTGATGCCGTGTTAATCTCTTCTGTTGCTGTGATATCGGGAAGGTAAACACATTAAAGTATCCATCAAGCAAACTTGGGTTAAGAAGCAATTGGCCAGCACGATATCATATTAATTATACAAACAAATCTTTACAAAAGATGTTATGAACTCCCCTCACTAATAGAAACTAGACACAAACAGAAAATGTTATTTCCATTTAATCGTGTTGTGGGCGTGGGTCCGAAATAACTCCGATAATTTAATCTCACTAATAAGTACCAAGACGATAGAGCGTGTACCCAACTTGTATTTTCGTACGTAGGAGTTGAACGCCATAAAATCGATGGTGAGTATTTCGAAAATAGCAGTCTTCTTCAAAACGCAACATAAATGTCATTTAACAACAGATATTCCCCCGAAATATCCAACAAAATTGAATATCACAAAAAAGAACATCCAAATTTCGAGACAATTATGATTAAGTGAAACGCACAGGCGAGCAAATATTCCAAGGTGAAAATATTTTGCCTGCAAAATGTCAATCAAGCATTCTGAATATGACTTATGGGACATCCAGTGTTGTGACGTCTAACGTTTCTAAACAAAACATTTCATTCCAATGAATATATACCGCTATTGCACAGCTTTTAAAATATAACCCAGCAAGCCATTATAACACAGGTCGTATGTCGATCGAGGTGAGGTGAGTTACGTTTTGTTGGACTCCCTTAATGCGATAGCCGGTATTCTTCGTGGACTTCAACGATCCTTAATACATTTATACATGTACACGTGCTGGGGTTGGCGCAAGGGTATACTCAGCCATGACTGGCTATTCATTATTCGTATCCACATAATGATTGGTACGCAGCTTGGGTTCAAGTTAGTTCTTCTACTACATGATTACTCACTACACATTGTGTAGTACATGTGTGGGGTCTCGAACGAAAGGTGACGTCATTCTTTACTATTTCAATGGGTCAATTCATGGCGTCATGCTGCTTATACTAACTAACCAGGATTGACGATCACTGAAATACAGTGAAAAGTGATAAAATCGAAGTGTAATATTTACAGTCGAGAACATGAAAACTATTGACACATGCTGCTGTAAATTCTCAAATTTCAATCAAAGGTCAATTGACACTTCGCGTACGTCATGGATTGTAAAACCAGACATCACACAAACATTCTGACATCAATAATCGGGTCGAGGACATAGTTAAGTGATATGAACAAATTGAGATTAGACACCACACTGAGGGCGTTCAAGACACAGCGAGATCCCTCGGGATGTTTCAGATAATGTCTTATATACCCCACACTACGAGGAGTAGGTTGGCCGTTGTTGGAATATATATCAATCAACTAGCAGCGAAGGAATTCACGGAAGGCATATTTGCCCGGAGTTGTTGTATTCAGAGCACGGGAAAGCATAAAGCGAGATTGATCCTCAATGTTATCCCCAATGTTAGGATGTGCTAGATTAATACAAGAAATGGAACTGTCGCCAGACATCTGAATGTCATTTGCATGTCTGTGCGTGTATATAGGCTTCTTAACGCGAAACAAGTTTATTAAGCAAATGAGTCGGCTTTCACTCCGTCTTGAACAGTAATCAAGTTGTTTGTATGTTGTTTAACGCCGCAGTCAGCAGTATTCCAGTCACATGACGATTGTCGTATTTACGTAATATCACGGTGTGTCAGTCTGCCACTTTGTTGAAACCCAAGGGAACGGTTATGGTGTACAACCTAGAAATATAATCGGGGCGAATCTGGGATTTTAACACATGATCATAGGTTTCTGGCATGCCTGAAGGACACAACACTGCACAGCGAATTCCGGCACCTTTCCCCTGGAGAATTAAAAAGATATTTATGTCCTCAGTTGATTAAGCAAGAATTATCCAAACACTTTTCATATTATAACACAGTGACGCCTCATTAATAGAGTCAGTATAGTTGTGAGTCAAGCTAAATTAATGCATGTGTTAAACGTATTTTCCATGTAACGATAAATATACGTGATCGGCATTAATCGTCCGGCTGTCTGGGTTTTCGGATCAACGAGTTATAACTGTAATTGCTTCCAGGTCAAACTGTACATGGATTCCTAACGATTAGGTTAATAGGTGCCAATTCTATTTCTTGGTCGTCTCAAATTAATCTGGCGCCAACGGTTAATCACGATCAATGCGCATGACTGGATATAAGCTTCATATATGGTTAGGTGCATCAGTGGCACAGGACGTGACCTACATGCGTAATGGCATACATCCGTAACACAAGACGTGACTTGCATGCATGATGGGATACATCCATGACTTTCATGCATGGCGGGGTGTACCTGACGTGACCTTGCATGATGGGATACCTCTCAAGCACAGGATGTGATCTTGCATGATGGGATACCTCACAAGCACTGGATGTGATCTTGCATGATGGGATACCTCACAAGCACTGGATGTGATCTTGCATGATAGGATACCTCACAAGCACAAGTCGTGACCTTCTTGCATGATGGGATACCTCACAAGCACAAGACGTGACATTCTTGCATGATGGGATACCTCACAAGCACAAGACGTGACATTCTTGCATGATGGGATACCTCACAAGCACAAGTCGCGACCTTCTTGCATGATGGGATACCTCACAAGCTCAAGACGTGACCTTCTTGCATGGTGGGATACCTCACAAGCACAAGACGTGGCCTTCTTGCATGATGGGATACCTCACAAGCACAAGTCGCGACCTTCTTGCATGATGGGATACCTCACAAGTACAAGTCGCGACCTTCTTGCATGATGGGATACCTCACAAGTACATGTCGCGACCTTCTTGCATGATGGGATACCTCACAAGTACAAGTCGCGACCTTCTTGCATGATGGGATACCTCACAAGCACAAGACGTGACCTTCTTGCATGATGGGATACCTCACAAGCACAAGACGTGACATTCTTGCATGATGGGATACCTCACAATCACAAGTCGCGACCTTCTTGCATGGTGGGATACCTCACAATCACAAGTCGCGACCTTCTTGCGTGATGGGATACCTCACAAGCACAAGTCGCGACCTTCTTGCATGATGGGATACCTCACAAGCACAAGTCGCGACCTTCTTGCATGATGGGATACCCCACAAGCACAAGTCGCGACCTTCTTGCATGATGGGATACCTCACAAGCACAAGACGTGGCCTTCTTGCATGATGGGATACCTCACAAGTACAAGTCGCGACCTTCTTGCATGATGGGATACCTCACAAGTACAAGTCGCGACCTTCTTGCATGATGGGATACCTCACAAGCACAAGGCGTGGCCTTCTTGCATGATGGGATACCTCACAAGTACAAGTCGCGACCTTCTTGCATGATGGGATACCTCACAAGCACAAGACGTGGCCTTCTTGCATGATGGGATACCTCACAAGCACAAGTCGCGACCTTCTTGCATGATGGGATACCTCACAAGCACAAGTCGCGACCTTCTTGCATGATGGGATACCTCACAAGTACAAGTCGCGACCTTCTTGCATGATGGGATACCTCACAAGCACAAGTCGCGACCTTCTTGCATGATGGGATACCTCACAAGCACAAGACGTGGCCTTCTTGCATGATGGGATACCTCACAAGCACAAGACGTGGCCTTGCATGATTTGATACCTCACAAGTACAAGTCGCGACCTTCTTGCATGATGGGATACCTCACAAGCACAAGACGTGGCCTTCTTGCATGATGGGATACCTCACAAGTACAAGTCGCGACCTTCTTGCATGATGGGATACCTCACAAGCACAAGACGTGGCCTTCTTGCATGATGGGATACCTCACAAGCACAAGTCGCGACCTTCTTGCATGATGGGATACCTCACAAGCACAAGTCGCGACCTTCTTGCATGATGGGATACCTCACAAGTACAAGTCGCGACCTTCTTGCATGATGGGATACCTCACAAGCACAAGTCGCGACCTTCTTGCATGATGGGATACCTCACAAGCACAAGACGTGGCCTTCTTGCATGATGGGATACCTCACAAGCACAAGACGTGGCCTTCTTGCATGATGGGATACCTCACAAGTACAAGTCGCGACCTTCATACATGGCGGGATACCTCACAAGTACAAGTCGCGACCTTCATACATGGCGGGATACCTCACAAGTACAAGTCGCGACCTTCATACATGGCAGGACACCTCAGTAGCATAGGAGATAACCCGATGCTTCTCGAGCACCTGTGGTGTTTTAATCATTCTGAGATTAAATACCAGTATATCGTTAATTGTTTTAACATATCACTTTCAGTTTACCACATCTGTTGCTATCACTAAAGCAGTAACGTTTAGAGGCGTAGTCTTACACACACGCGCGTTTGACACCCTTCAGATTTGACACTAGTGAATGAGGGGATAAATGTGGCTTTTTACTGTCGAATCAGCAATGTTGCAGCCATTCGCGGCAGTAGAAAATAAAAGTGACAAAACCATTTCCATATTCGTAAGAAACCTCCGATAAAAGTAGAGACCGTTGTACGCTTTCGAATATATCATAAGCAAGTGGTTATAAATAATTACCAAATAGTGCTTACCAAAATACCACTAGTCTACATGACTGTACTTGTTTCCGGCAGTGTGACTCGCACTTGGGTCAACTTTCCTCAGCGACAAACACTCAATATATGCTTTGTCTAACGGCCGAAAGTGCTAACAGTTTCATTATATATTTTTCTCTCAACACAGAAAAGCTAACAACTATTTTTTTCTGAAAAAAACTTTGGTTTTATCAATAAATCAATCGCACAACTAATCGCATAGTATTTGACAAAACATTAACTACATAAAAATAACAGGTTAAGAAATCTGCTTATCTTCTTAAGTTGATTTTCGATAGTTTTATCTGTAATAGGATAACTTTGGTCACT